GCTCAAACATTATAAATTCATAATATTTGATCAAGAACGCCCCCCCCCACATCGAATCTAATGTTTTCCAGGTTCCTGAATGCTATTATAAATTTATAAAGCCAAGATTTATAATTTTATATAAATTATAATTATACAAATCTAAGAAATAAATTATTGGAGTTTTCTCTTAATGATTCATTTCTGTAAATGAAAGATGTGCTAAAGCAGGTTGGGGGAGGGAAATATATTTACATAATGTGTTCGTTTTGTTATTCAGAGTTTTTAGACAACTTTTTATAGAAAAGAATAACAATTGGAAGGGACCTTGGAGGTCTTCTAGTCCAACCCCCTGCTCAAGCAGGAAACTGGATAACCCTCTCTGTTAGTTTGCAAAAAGTACAGGTAGTCCTCAACATACAAAAGTTTAATGATTATTCTAAGTTACAACAACACTGAAAAAAGGGACTTATGACCATTTTTTCACACTTATGACCATTGCAGCATCCCTGTGATCAAATTTCACACTCTCAATTCAACTGTCTCGTATTTATGATGGTTCCAGTGTCCCGGGATCATGTAATCCCCTTTTGCGACCTTCTAACGAGCAAAATCAATGTGGAACTTAGATTCACCTAACAACCATATTGCTAACTTGACAACTGTGGTGATTCACTTAACGAGGGTGGCAAGAAAGACGGTCAAACGAGACAAAACTCACTTTTGAGTTTTGCTTGGCCACAGAAACATTGGGCTCTATTGTGGTCATAAGTCAAGGAGTACCTGTACAACACTTGGGCTCCCAAGCTGAGATTCTCACCTAACATACCTGTTTTTTCAACTCCAAGCCCAGGATTGCCTTCTCCCCGCCCCCACCCCGCCCCCGCCTCCTTAGGACGGTTTCAAATTCCCAGAATCCTCAGCAAGACTTGTCAAGTCTGGAAGCGGTTAAGAAGCGTTGCAAAGACTACATTTCCCAGAAGACCTTGGATCCCAGCGCGGGGCGGGGCCAGAGAGGTTGGGCTCGTGCGTTGAGCAGCAGCTGCTGTTGTTGCATCTCGCGCCCTCCTTTGGCTCTGCTGCCCAAAAGACCAGGTGTTTTATTTATATAAGGGAGAAAAATCCCGTTGCCCTTTCCCGGGACCAACCAGAGCGGCCCGCTGGAGGCTTTTGCGACCATGCCAGGCAGTTTTCTGTCCCTCCAGCAGCAGAGGGTGCTTGGCAGTCTAGGGAGGCTGTGGAGGGAGGGGGGCGGTCGCCCCTTCGCTGTCCATGCGGGTGGGAGTCAAGGGGACGGGGCCAGGCTCCCCTTGGGCAAAGCTGTCAGCCGGTGGGTGTTTGCACAGGGCATCCGGAGCTGGGCTGTAGCTGCCCCCTTGGCCATGGCTGCCAAGGTGGATTTGACCACGTCCACTGACTGGAAGGAGGCTAAATGTAAGTGAGAAGGGCAGAGTGCGTAGTTGTGAGTGTGTGTGTATGTGTGTGTGTGTTTGCAAGGCCTTGCCCTGGCTGCGTCTCCTTCCAGCAGTCCCTCGCTGAGCTTCTGCAAGTCTCTCCGTCCTTTGTTGGCTTGCAACTTGGCACCCACTTTAATTTCCTAGCTTCTCTGCCAACCTTCCAAGGCTTGATCGTAGTTCAGTAGACTATAGTTTAAGGCAACTTCGTGTGGCTGCAACAAGAAAAACTGCAACCGTGTTCGCACTCTTTAGATCCTGCCTTGAAATTAAGGAACCTTAAAGTGGGCCAATTTATTTATTTTTTAAATTATGTTTTTAGAGGAAAATGGGTGATGTGTGTGGACCCCACAAAAATGCTTCTCCATAAAAGCATTGAGGCAGGGGGTGTATCTGGTTAATTAGAATAACACAATAAAAGAGTCGGAAGGGACCCCCAAGGTGTGGTTTCTTTCCCCTTCAACCCCTTGCCCAGGCCAGCCTTCTCCAACTTGGTGCCCTCCTCATGTGTGCTTTTCCAACATGTGCATCGCCACCCCTTTTTAGATGAAGTTAAGGGCTTTGGTGAGATGCTGGCTGGGAATCCTGGGAGATGTAGTCTCTGAACATTGATCCAGAGGTCTCAAAGAGACATTGCAGCTTTTGCAAGAGACGAGCTGTACTGGTGCCTGGTTTAATAAAAGGCACTTTATTTTGTACTTTAAACCATCCTGCCAAAGATTTGCTGCTTCAAATCAGCCAGAATGAACCCAGAACCATTTTTTTAGTTCTTGTTTATGTATTTCTATGTTGGCTTTTGTAAACTCTGCAAAAAGGGACTTCTTCCTTTAACATACCTGCCTCTTCTTCTCGGTCATGGAAAAGCAAGCTTGTTCTTTCCCATTTTTTATTAAATTTCCACACTGCCCACCCAAGCGACTCTAGGCGGTTCACATATACAAATTGTTAAAAGAAACCTAGTTAAAGCAAAAATGTTAACTTTTAACATAAGGATAAAAAAGAGACATAATTAAAATTAACGTTTATTTTTAACATAACTGTAAAGAGACATGGTTACATGTTTATTTTTTTAACACAACAGTATTGAAGCATAGTTACATCATACTTATTTTTAATTTAAAGGTAAAGACATGGTATAAATGTTTATTTTTAACATAAGGGTAAAAAAAGACAGTGAAAAATAGCCATTAAGTCGCTTCCTTCACTGCTGTTGTAACTTTGGTCCCTAAATGAATGCTTAGCACTGCCTGTACTTAATTTCTATTTAATGTTTGCTCCTCTTTATGAATTTTGTAAGCTACCCAAAGTCACTGAGGTGACAGAGTTGCTTAGAGAGAGAGGGGCAGCATATTAAATTTAATAAATAAAAGAGGCTGCAATTTGCAGTGAGCAGGCAACGGAATGCTCGGGGCCTCGGTTGCCTAGCAACCGGCCTGGGACGGTCCCTTTCCTGGACTAGGCCTCCATCCACCCTTTGAGGAAAATGTGCTCTTTGAGGGACTTTTTGGGTTTTTTTTCCCCAAAAGCTGGGCTTTTCAAAAACCTTGGGGACCAGAATTGAAAAGTAGCTCAACCTCTGGAGGGCTTTTGAAGATGGTTCTTTGTGTCCCCTCTGAGGAAAATGGTTCCCTCACAGCAATGGCGGCCGGCCTAAGAAAATAGGCCTTTTTTCCAAGGCTGGTTTGGCTTCCCAAAGGAGAATGATTAGGGACTCAGAAATGGCCCTGTGTGTCCCTGGCTTTGGAGACAAGGCAAGGGGATATTCCTGATGAGGTGTGGACACCGTTTGCTGCCCATGGTTGGCATTGAGGAAGGGGTTTCCTTGGAAGTAAATCCTTGAATTGCAGTTTTCAATTTCTGAGAAGCGTTGATTAAAATCAGTTCAGTGGGCGACACACGGAAGTGAGACATGTACACTGAGCACTTAATTCCTCAGTTCTTGCGCATCCATGTTGCAAAAAACCTCTGCTTAGGTTAGCATAAGTATTATTCCCTTATTTAATACCTCCTCATTCCTGAAAGTTATGTGTGTTGTGTTGTACTGGCTGTGTAAGGGGTATTATTACAGTTTTTCCTTCCTTCCTTCCTTCCTTCCTTCCTTCCTTCCTTCCTTCCTTCCTTCCTTTCTTTCTTTCTTTCTTTCTTTCTTTCTTTCTTTCTTTTTTTCTCTCTCTCTTACTTTCTCCTCCCTTCCTCCTTTCCTTTCCCTTTCTTTATCTTTCTTCCTTTCTTCCTTCCTCCCTTCCTTCTTACATTTATTGACAGCCCATCCTACACAAGGTATCTCTGGGCAGTTTACAATATTAAGAATTTTTTTTACAAAACCTATATACAATAAGAGCTAAATAATAAAATATATAATACACAATCCTAACTGGGTTTTTTTTTTTAGTTTATTTTATAGGTAACTATAATGTGAACTTCATAGTATAAAAACTATAAAGGGAATTTTTTCTTGTGCGGTAGGTTGGGCTGAGAGAGATCTGGGACTGGCCCAAAGTCACCGGCTGACTTTCATGCTAAGGCAAGACTAGAACTCACTGACACCCTCTTTCAAGGCTGGCACCTTAACCCCTACACCAAACTGGCTCTAGCTGCAATTGCTAGTCCTCGTTCAGCGACTGCCTTATTTAGCAACGGTTCACACAGGGCCTTGCATGGACAACCTTGTCAGGTCTGTCGACCGAAGGAAGGCTGGAGTTGGATTATAAACAGAATTGTGGCTTCACTTAGCGACTGCTTTGATCAATGACCGAGTTGGTGCTTCCACCAGATGAGGACAGCCTGGCCTTAGGATGTTCTCAGTTGCAGATTTGATGCTTTCCGTTCATTTTAGCTACTCCAAAAGCTTTTCACCCGCTTCTAGCTACTGAAATTTTTTTTTGAAGTGGCAATGCAATCGCTTAAAAGTGATTCTTTTCTAACCAATGTACAGTAAATTATTAAATTATTGCAGATTTCTCCCCCCCACCCCCGAATTTGCATCACCAACCACTCTTTTCTTTCTCTCCTCCTTTATCTTCCCGTTCAGCATTTCTGAAAGGACTGAACAACAAACAGCGGCGTTCACATTACTTCACTAAAGATTTCATCAAGCTGAAGCAGATCCCAACATGGAAAGAAATGGCCAAAAGTGAGTCTTTTTTTTTTAAAGCTGTTGGAATCAGTGACAGAGAAATATCTTCTTCTTCCTGTTGTCATCTTCATCTCTTCCCCCTTTCATGCCAGGCGCTCGGATCCAGCAACCTGAAGAAACCATTTACCCAAAGGATAATAATCTGAATGGGAAAATCTCCCTCTTCCGAGGAGACATTACCAAGTTGGAGGTCGATGCGATCGTCAATGCTGGTGAGTGAACAGCGGAATGGATCCCGCTTGGCTTTGAGGGAGGGTGGGCTGAGGGCAGATGTGATTTTTGCATTCCTCATTTGAGTTTAAGAACAGAAGAAAAGGAATGGACACGCCCTTGGCCAGAGGTCTCAAAACTTGGTATATTTAAGACTTGTGGACTTCAATTCTGGCTGGAGAATTCTGGGAGTTGAAGTCCACAAATCTTAAAGCTGCCAAGTTTGGAGACCTGGTCTTGAAAATCTTTTTGCAATTTCCACAGTATTTGATTTGCATTAAAAAAATATCCTGGCTTTGAACTTTGCAGTATTTTTAAGTTAACTACTATCATACGGATGGGGAAAAAGCAAAAAAAAAGAAGTCAAAGCAGTGGATATATGTGTATGGTGTGCATATGTACAGTACATATCACAGGAAATAACTTTACAGCGTCTTGAAGTAGTTAGGCCTCTGTTTCCCAACCTTAGCAATTTTAAGATGTATGGACTTCAATTCCCAGAATTCTCTCATCAATGGCTGGGGGATTCTGGGAGTTGAAGTTCACCCAGTTGGAAATTGCTGTAGTTGGGAATTGGTGAATTTCACAACAGCCAAAAAGGTCAAAGTCTGTCTGCTTGAAAATGTATATACGTACAGTAGAAACTTTTGAAGCCTTTGGAAGACAGAATATAGAAAAGAAGCTAAGAGGGACAAAGAAGTAGAAAAAATTTGCAGTCATAAATAACAGGAAAAAAAATACATGCGATTGTATTGTCTCTTTCCCAAAGTTAATAAATAAATGACCAATTTTGAATCCTTTGGAATTGGATGGTCAAACCAAAAGGTAAGTGACCAGGTTTTTTAATTCAATGTGGGGGATTGGTATGTGCTTTTTTTTTTTTTTTTTTAGCAGAAAGGTATTTTAAAAATTGGTCTATCACTTTCCTGCTTCAGACTTTTTAGCAAACAGATTTGCATTGCTGGTTGTATGGCTTAAAATTCTGGTGATTGGAGACAAAGATCAAGTTGCAATAAGATTACAGTGAAACTTGAAAATTCTGGTCAATTTGACAAATAGTTCTCGTTGGGGAATTGGGTTATGTCAAAACTAATATTTTCTCCATGTGCAGGAAGTACTACCTTGTTTGAGTGAGTGAGTCAGAGGTTTTTTTTGCTTGTGTCAATATTTTGGAAATAGACAATGAAACATGCATTGCAGTGTGTACACATAGGGGCATTTATTTAAAATGAATGCTGCATATACGGATTGCCAGTATTTAGCCCATATAAAGAACAGAGAGATGGAAAAGAAATTGATTCTATTACTACCCCAAGAGTATCTCTCTCTGACGTTTTCTGAAAGCGCAGTCAGCAAAGCCTTTGCGACTGCCTTGTTTAGTGACCATTCACGCCCACAACATTGAGGAAAAAGTAACTTTGCAGCCAGGCCTCCCATTTATGACCTTTGCATGTCTGCAAAGCAAAAGAAAGATTGCAAGCACAGTGGTGGTTTCACTTAACAACCATTTTGCTTAATGGCCGAGTTGCTGGTGCCAATAGTGCTCGCTAAACAAGGACTGCCTGTATTCTGCAGCTTTGCAATGTAAGATTTGAGGAAAAGGAGGAAAATTACAGCTGTTTAAGTAGAAAAAAAAGCATGTGGGGTTCTTATCAGCCTCAGGTTTTACAACTGAGAGAAGATCTGATTTTTAATTTCTGCCTGAAGTACGATATACAGTAGTTGACTCAGCAAGACCTGGTGCTGTTGCTCTCCGCGAATACTGGGGGGCGCCAAAGATTCAGAATCCAGCCTTTGATTCCGGTTTGAATTTCGCCATAGCAATAAATTGGCAGGTTTTATTAGTGTTGTTTATAAGTCTTTGCTAACGAGGTTTTTTTGCGGGTGCTTCATCACTCTTTCCTTGTACATCATAAAGTCTGTATGTCCTTAATTCATAGGTGCAGTTGAATGTAAATTAAGGTTACCGACAATCCGATTTTATTCCTAGCTGTGCAAAAAAGCTAGCGGCAGCCGTGTTTTTTTCCTGGCTTCGATGCAATCCAATTTGTAGGTTTGCAGGAGGCTTGTCAAGCGGGGTGGTCTGTGGCAGCTTAACCAAGCAAGCCGGGTGTTTATTTCCTCTTGACCTTGTCTCCATGACAGAAATCTAACACAATCGTGGTCTCAGAGCTCTTACAGATACCAGCTGTGTTGTTAACACCTCCCAAGGCGCCAGCTTATGTAGCCGGCAATGCCCCGATATGCTTCAATATTATACTTTTTAAAAATGTAAATAATATATTTATTTCTACTATACTGACGATAAAAAAAAATGTACAGGGGAGCAATCGGCAGGTTTTGTGGACAGGTTTAGGACAGAATAAATCCCGTGAGCGTACACTGGTAATCCTCAGCTTACGACCACAATTGAGCCCAAAATTTCTGTTGCTAAGCAAGACATCTTGGTGCTTCTCCTTCCACCCCTGGTATCTTTTCTGTTGGGTCACCTGAGTAGCTTTCAATCTGATGTGGTCCTTGTAGGATCAGCCCTCTCTCTCTCCCTCTCCCTCTCTCTCATTCTCTCCCTCCTCTCTCCCTGCCTCCCTCCCTCCCCCTCTCCCCTCCCTCTCCCTTCCCCTCTCCACCACTCCCTCTCTCCCTCTTTTCCCTCCCTTTCTTCCTCCCCCTCCCCCTCCCTCTCCCTCCCTCTCCCTCCCACCCTCCCCCTCTCTCTTCCCTCTCCCTCCCTCTCTCTCCCTCCCTCTCCCTCCCTCCCTCCTTCCCTTTCATCCTCCATCCCTCTTTCCCTCCCTCCCTCTCATCCTCTCTCCCACTCCCGCTCCCTCCCTCTCCATCCCTCCCCCCTTCCCTCCCTCTCCCCCTCTTTCTCTTCCTCCCTTCCTCCCTCTCCCCTCCCTCTTCCTCCCCCTCTCCCCCTCTCCTTCTCTCTTTCCCTCTCCCTCCCCCCTCTCCTTCCTTCCTTCCCTCTCATCCTCCCTTCCTCTCCCCCTCTTTCTCCCCCCTCCCTCCCTCTCCCCTCCCTCCCTCCCTCCCTCTCATCCTCTCTCCTGCTCCCTCCTTCCCTCCCTCTCCCTCCCTCCCTCCCTCTCATTCTCTCAACTTCAAGAGCTAAGGCGCTGCAGGGGACCGGCTGGTGGGAAGATTGGCACCGTGTTCTCCCAGCTGGGTGTTTTATGGAGAGATGGATGGATGGAGTGCCTGTGTTACTTTGGCATTACCAATCGCTGGCCAAGGTTATCAGCCCGCCAAGTGCGGGAGGCAAAGGCCCCAGGCAGCCATTAGAGTGGCAAATGGTCAACGCAAATCGGCGCATCTGTCACTACAGTGGTCCAATTGCTGGCGGATGTTGGCCGCCACTGGAACCTCCGGAGGAGTGGCGAAACAATCCGAGTCGCTGCTTAGGAAGCCCAGGGTGGGCTGGCCCTGTTTGGTTTCCCCTGACCTCTCTTCCCAGCAGCTGGCCTCGCACTGAAAAAGGCTACGTCTCTTAGAAGCGGAACTCCTCCATGGGGTTTGCGCGTCGCCCTAAACCTTAGTTTGCTTGCCGCTGGTCAGTTGACAAAGCTGCGGTCGGCAGGATTCAGAGAATTGGCTGAGCAGTGGGTGGGCGGCTTCCCCTGAATTTCTTCTGGGATGGAGCCACCTGTAACTATAGTGGCTGAAAACTGGAAGAGTGCTTCTCTGCATTTGGCAAAAGGGATGGCAATACATTGGCTAGAAGGGAGGGAGGGAGGGAGGAAGGAAGGAAGGAAGGAAGGAAGGAAGGAAGGAAGGAAGGAAGG